AACAGACATTGGTTAAGCCCTGGCTTTGTCCCGGGCCTCATGCTCGGTGCTAAAGACACAAAAGGCCATTGGAGGCAGGCCTGGGCCTCGTGGGGTGGTAGGAGGGGAGAGGAGGAGGAGGACAGGTACAAAGCTGCCTTTGGGTCAGAGGACCTGAGTTTGAATCCCACCTCTGACATGACCTATGTGACCTTGGGCCTCAGTTTCTTTATCATTAAAATGAAGGGGTTGGACTAGAGGGCCTCCTAGGCCTTTTACAACCCTAAATGTAGGATCAGATAAGTTAATAGTCATCTGGCACTTTAAAATCTGCAAAACGCTTTCTGTCTATAAATTATCTCTTTTGTTTCCTGCAATAACCCTGAGAAGTAGAGACCATAGGCAGTGCCGCTGTGCCCGTTTAACAGATGGGAAAACTGAGGCTCAGGGAGGTGAACTAACTTACCAAGGATCACACAGCTAGTAAGTGTCAGGGGTGGATGTGATCCCAGGTGTTCCTGTTGCTGTTTAGCACGCTATTGCCACGAGGCTCTCAGTGGCAGCGGAAAGGAGGGTTAGATGAAAGAGATTGGCCAGGCATGATTGACAGGCCTCAGACAAAAGGTTGGGTGTGTGTGAGAATGGTGCCAACTGTCTTCTGCCTGGTCAACCCCCGTGTGCGGGATTGGGTTCATTTCTGGGCATCATCTTTTAGGACACCGAAAAACCGGGCAGTACGTCCAGAGGAAAGTAACCAAGGTTGCCAAGAGATCATGCCAAGTGACCATCTATCTGAGGAACTGGGGTGCAGAGAGATTGCTCTGGTTTTAATCAAAGAAGCTCTCGCAGAGCATTCACAGAACTAAAACCCAGCATCTCCTCCATTGCTCACTACCTGTGTGACCTTGGATGAGTCATTGCCCTCTTAGAGCCTCAAAGTCTTGAGTTACAGGGTTGAATCAGATGGTCTCTGAGGCCCTCTCCAGCTCTCCTTATGTTTAGCCTGAAGAGGACTTGGATGGCCCAGTAGCAGTCTTGAGGCAGTGGAGGAGGCTGTCCCATGAAAGAGGGACGCCATTTGTCCTGCTTGGCTCCGGGGAGAGAGATTTCAGCCAAATGTGAGGGAAGACTTCCTAAGAAATAGAGCCTTCCAAGGGCAGCTAGGTGGTGCAGTGGGTAGAGCACCAGCTGTGGAGTCAGGAGGACCTGAATTCAAATCTGGCCTCAAACATTTACTAGCTGTGTGACCCTGGGCAAGTCACTTAACCCTGATTGCCTTGTTAAAAAAAAAATTGGGGCAGCTAGGTGGAGCACTGGTTCTGGAGCCAGGAGGATCTGAGTTCAAATGTGACCTCAGACACATAACACTTACTATCCATGTGACTGGGAGCAAGTCACTTAACCCCAAATTCCTTGCCCCCCAAAAAGAAAAGGAATAGAACCTTCAAAAAGTAGGATCAGCTGTCTCCAAGGAACTCCTCTCACTTGGGAGCTTTAAGCTAAGATTAGATGAAGAGGATTTGGGGCGGGGGAGGGGAAGGGCAGGTGGACTGAAGTTTAGAGAAATTAAGTGATGTAGCCATAGTAACCTTAGTGGTAGATGTCAGAGGCAAGATTTGAACCCAGCTCTTCTGACTCTACAGTCAGCATTCTTACCATGCGGCCCTACTGCCTCCTACTTTATTGGGATGTTGTAATGAGGACCCTCGTTCAGACTTAAGCAAAGTAGGCTTAAAATTTCATCCAATCCATTCAGGGAATGCCCTTTACCTTTGCAGATTAGAGATTTGCAACTGTTAATGTTTTTGAGATACTGAGTTTGTCTCTGGGCCACTTGGAGAGAATTTAAATGTCCTGCAAGGTAACATAGTCAGTGTGTGTCTGAGGCAGGGTTCCTGACTCTGGGGCTAGCTCTCAATCCGTTACCCTTCTCCCCTCCCTCCCTCCCTAGACAAGGTGTCCGCTTAAAAAAAGCCCACAGCAGAGTCACTTTAAACTTTAAACCCTCCCTATAATGGCAGATTTCTCTTCACTTTAACAGCTTAAACTTGACCGGTTAAATGCTTGATTCTGTAAGCCCTCCTAGAGACTAAAGGTGTGTTATTGTGGGAGAAAAGGAGTCTGAAGTTACGTTTGTAACTGTCATTCTCTGAGGTTTTTGTCCCTCTGGAAGCAGGGACGTTGTGTGAGCTAAACTTAAGTGGAGAAGAGCAAGACTTTTTGCTTGTTAGAACGTGTTAGATATTTCAAGCTAGGTGTCCTAGAGACATTTTAAATTCAACACATCTAAAACTGAACTCATTCTTTTCCCCCCAAACCTTCGTCTCTTCCAAACGTCCCTCTTTCTGTCAAAGACACCACCATCCTTCCAGGGCTGTAGGTTCATAATCTCTGCCTGGTCCTGGATGCCTCACTCTCCCTCACCCCACATCTTCAGTCTCTGGCATCTCCCAGGTACCACTTTAGCTCAGGTCCATTGTCACCACCAACCTTTATTATTGCAGCCATCTCCCATCCTCAAGTCTCTCCAATCCAGTTTATACATCGATGCCAGAGTGATTTTTCTTAAGCACATACCTGACCACGTGACCCTTCTGCTCAACGAACTCCAGGGACTTCCTGTTGCCTCCAGGATAAGATACAACTCCTCTGTTTAGCGTTTAGTACAATCTGGTCTCAGCTTAATCTTTCCAATGTCATTGGGCATTATTTCCCCTCCTGAGCTCTGCAATCCAGCCAAACTCTTATCTCTGTTCTTCCCACATGATGCTCCATTCCCTAACTCTACACTTTTGCACTGATCATTTCTCATCCTAGGAACACCCTTCTTTCTCACCTCCATTTCACTGAGTTCCTCTCTTCCTTTAAGATACAATCCAGGCACCATCTTCCACATGAAGCCTTTCTCATTCCCTCGACCTCTTAATATCATTAGAGCATAAGCTCATTTCAAGTAGGGATTTTTCTTCTTTGTACTTGTATCCCCATGCTTACCACGTAGTAGGCACTTAATAAATACTTGTTGATTGTTTGATCGAACTGTCTGAACTATTGTTTTATGATGAAACATCACAATGAGAATTTTATGAAAAGTGTGAGAGAAACAGGCATTTTACAGTATATTATGGAAAGGTTGTTACCTGGGTTGGTTGAAGAGAGAACAAAAAGAAAAAGACTAAAATAACTTACTTTTAGGAGACTGAATTCAACTCTTCTATGAGGAGAAATATAGAGAAGGTACTTTGGAGGCTATTTTAAATGAACTGAATGGTGGAACTAGTTTTGCAGAAGTGAAGAGAAGTCATCTCTCCTAATAGCAAGGATTTGAGGTGACCTTGTGATTTTTTGCTCAGCCAAAATGTTATAATTGTTTATCTTTGTTTTATGGTTGATTTCTTTAGTAATGCATTGAATAAATTCTTAATTTATTATTATCAATTATTAATTAAATTCTCAATAAATTATTAATAAATTAAATAGCTTTAATATTTAATCATAGGAGATTAAGGGATTTAAAATAGAAAGAGATGAGTAACTGCTAGAAAAGGAGATTTCTCCAGTTTATTCAATAAGTAATAGTCAATGAACTCACTGGGTTTCAATTAATTAATGAAACTAGGTTTCAACTAGTTAATGAAAAAGAGGTTGTAATTTTGTTAACTAATAAGAAAATACTCAGCCATGCCTGTGGGTTATTCTAGAGCTCAGGATGATAAGATTCAATTGGGAATGAGTCAAGCAATAGGCTCGAGGATCAGTGTGGTCACCTATCATACTTGCGACACATATACACATTTATTTCAAAACCTTGAGGTTCTAAGTTTTCACTGATATGATTTTTCCTTCCACCGATACAAAGTGCAGCCTCACTACAATTCAGTGGGTGGTCTCTCAGTTGCTGCAGCCAAAAAACTCATCCCATCCCCCGTGGCCAACCTGGGGACGAGCCTTTCCAACGTTCACGAGCCTGGTCCCTGTACAACAGATCCAGAGGCACATGCCCAAGACGGTGAAGCAACCTGCCCAGTGAGGAGCATCCAAAAAGACTGGGGATGTTCAGCGTGGAGTAGGCGCTTAACAAATGCTTCTTGTATGCATAGAAACTGTGTATTACAGTTAGCCCTACCCTGATGACTTCTTATGGCATGAGGTGCCCCTAATCTCCAAAGCAGCACAGTGCCGATTCTGACAGGTTCCACCCAGCTGGACAGGTTTGAGCGTGGGAGTAACGATGGACCACGTACATCTGTTACCTGAGGACCAGCCTAGCTAGGTCTGGGAGGTTCCTAACTGGCTGGACTGTGGGAAGATGAATTTTCCAGCTCTAGCGATTCTGAAAGACTGTCTGTCCAGGAATAGAGATGTCATAATCCCACCAAGGACATCATAGGTCCTTGAGGTATGGAGAAGCAAAGTTATCCGCTTGTGTGTCCTAGCCTGCCCCTGGACCACGAGTGCCCTGACAACAGAGCCGTGCTTATCTGCTCTTGCTTGGCACCTCCCTCAGCACAGAGCGCGTGATATGCCTTGTCCTCCACACAGTAGGGCTTAACGAATGCTCATTGGGTGGAGTTGAATTTGGGGAAAGAGTGAGAAAGAGAGAGAAAATTTGGCAAATTCGTAGTTGATCTTGGGTTAGTTTGGTTCTGAGTTAACATGACTCTACCCACCACCTCCGTCATTTTCATTTCCTCTTGGACAAGGCCAAAGGACTGTCCCGAAGCGGTGCCTCTTACTGATCAAGGTTGCCATTTAAGGATTAAAAAAGACTGGTTTTGCACTAAAACAAACACTTTCTTCTTCCTTCTTTTTCTCCCTCTCTTCTTTCTTTATCCTTTCTGTTTTTCCTTCCCTTCCTAGGTGAGAGGCAGACTAAGGTAGTGGTTAACGTGCTAAATCTGGGTCAAAATCCCCTTTCTCTCTGTGTGACTATGGCCAGGTTAATTAGCCTGTCATCCTCAGTGATTTCATCTGTAAAATGGGAACGAAGACATACCTTATAGAGTGGCTGTGTGGCTCACCTGAGATAATTCTTATAAAAGGCTTTACAGACTTCAAAGTGCTGTGTAAATGGTTGATAGAATGTCCTCCTTCCTCTCTCCTCCTGTTGAAATCCTTCTCTTTCTTCAAGGCCCTGCTCAGGAACTGCCTTCTCCACGGAGCTTTTCCTGATCCCTCCCGAGGTGAAAGTTTACCGGGCCTGCCAGGGACTCATCATTGAGGCCAGGGATGCTGTCATTGACTGCTTCTTCTAAGGTTGATGTTTATGAACCTAGCTGATCACTTGTAAGCTTGCTTCATATTTTCTTAGTGCAGTTCAGATTTCTCCTTTACACTGTTCACACTCTACCTTGGAACTAGAGCCATTTGATCTAATGTCCTCATTTTACAGATGAGGAAACTGAGGCCTAGAGGTGTTTACTTCTCCCTAAAATAAGGCATTGGACCAGATGACCTCTCCTACAGCAGAGAAAACCGAGTCCAAAGAAAGGAAGTGACTGTCCCAGGGTCACACTGGTGGTGAGTAGCAGACTAGGGTCTGAATCCAGATACCCTGCATCCAAAGTCTTCTTTCCATGACAACATCCTTCTTCTTGCTGGTCCAGCACAGCTGGTATCACTGGCAGGAGGTTGCAGCCCCTGAAGTTTATGGCACTCAGGGCCCTGTTGTCTGGTAAGGCCATAGCTCCTCTCTCTTCATGCAAATAATTGCAAAGCATTTGGCACAGTGCTTAGCATATAGCAGATGCTCAATAAATGCTTGTCCCCACCCTCCATCCCTATCCCTTTCCCTTCCCCTTTGTTCATTTAGGTAAGAAATGTACTGATTTCCCATGAGCACCCCAAATTATGCTTGACTGGGTGAGAAGTGTGGTACTCAATCAATGAACAAACACTTATTAAGGACCTACTGTGTGCCACAAATTGTGCTAACTTTGGGAGATACAAAGACAAAACAGTCCCTGCCCTCTAGGAGCTTACATTCTTCTAAGGGGCTACATCCTGGTATAATGGAAGTTAAGATCACTGACTCTGGTGGAGTCCAAGGACCTGCATTTAAATCCCTGAGTGCTCTCAGGCAGTCATTTACCTTCCTGGGCCTCAGTTTCTCATCCGTCAAGCGATCCTGATGGTCACTGAGGTCATAGATAAGAAGTGTGCAATCCTAACACGTTCCCTATTTACTTAGTGGTGTAAGGTAAGTGCTAGAACTATTGGTATTTCCATTCCAGAGATGAGCCATCGAGGGCTTACCCACAATCACACCCCAGAAGTGCTAGGAGCAGGATCTGAATTCCGTGCTCTCTCGACCTCAGATCCAATGCTTATAACCCCCACATCAACCAACCCCATGCCCCATGGGAAGGTAAGCACGTGCCACCCTGCAGAGCTAATCACTGTGCGTTTCAGAAAGACAAGTTTATACATAGTCCAGTCCTAAATTCTAAGAGTCTAGGGAGACAGCGAGGTGGCCCCCTGACATGGAACATTGGACTTGGAGTTAGGAAGACCTGAATTCAAATCCTGCCTCAGACATTTAGTGACTGTGTGGCCCTGGGCAAGTCACTTAACCTCTGCCTCAGTTTCCTCATCTATAAAATGGGGATAACCACAGCACCTCCTTCCCAGGGTTGTTCTGAGGATAACATGTATAAAGTTCTTTGAAAACCTTAAGGTACTATACAAATGCTAGTTATTACTATTAGTATTGTAAGTCACAGGAACTTGAAGAAGACAGATGAGTGATGGTGACAGCTGGCCCGCAGGTGGCTGGTGACTTCATCTGTATTTCAGGTTTCTCAGGAGTCAGTGATTAGCCTTTCTCCCCCGGGGAACGCTTTCTCTGAGCTCCGTTTCAGCTGAAGGGCAGTGCCTTTGACTCTTCTGGTCCCTCTTCCAGGCTGCCCACTGAAGGGAAAGAGAACTGTCTCACAGATAAGAACCCCGAGTCATTTGGTCATTGAACTGTTAAATGCGGTTAGTGGGGGCGGTGGGAGAGCTGGCTGCTCAGTTCTGTGGTTACCATCGACAAGAGGCCTGCTCTGGGGAGAGTTTCCTCTCTCCTCAGTGACTAACAACACCCAATTTTCCGATCCAACCCAATAAACATTTATCAAATGCTTACCATCCAAAAGATTCTGGAAAATGGCTCTTGCTCTCCTGGGAGGATACAGTCTGTATAAAGAGAAGCTGGTGTCTAAGAATTCGAGGAGGAAAGAGAGCCCTAGTGACTAAGGGAATTCAAAGAGACTTCCTATAGCTCATCAGATTATAGATTTGGAGCAAGAAGGGAACTTGGAGGCCAAGAAAACCCCTTCATGACATCTGAGGAAACTGAGGCTCAGAGAAACTTGCTCAGAGCTGCATAGCTACTAAGAGTCAGAGACAGTATTTGAACCCAGGTCTTCTGGACTCCAAGTCCAACGTTCACTTTCCCTTCTCAAAGTACTCTGTACCATCTTACATATATCTATTTACACATTGAGTCATTCATTAGACTGGAAGCCTCCTGAGGGCAGGTATTGTTTTTGTTCTTCTTTGGATTCCTGGTGCTTAGCACAGTACCCAACATATAGTAGGTGCTTAATAAATGCTTGTTGGATTAACTGACTTACTGCCTTATTGGAGGAACACTTGGAGTCCTAAGAGATGGAGTGAGGAAGGTGGGGTGTCCATTCGAGGCACAGTGGACAGCCTGAGCAAAGGTGGGAGGAGGAAGATGTTGTGGCTCTTGGAGGTTTGCAAAGCACTTTAGGTGCACTATCTCATTTGATCTTGTAAGGTAGGTACTATTACTATCCCCATTTTACAGATGAGGGAACTGAGGCAAACAGAGATTATGTGACTTACCCAGGGTCACACAGCTTGTGTCTGAGGTGGGTTCCAGCCTAGAGCTTCCTGACTCCCCCTCTGCTCCCTGAAGATTCGTTTGTATGCGGATGAATATTTGCATGTATCTCACGTAGAGGTAGGTTTTTGGGGTCGGGCAGGTGAAGTCAGGCTAACCACTGATGTTCAGGAAGCGTTGGTCTGAATGACAGCATCAGAATTTAGGTAACTTTAGGAATTCTCACAGGCCATTTGGTCCAACCTCTTCATTTTACAAATGGGGAAACTGAGGCTAAGTGACTAGTCTGAGGTCATACAGGTTGCAGTGACACAGGCGGAATTTGAACCCAGGTCCTTGAACTCCAGATCCAGCGTTCTTTCCACTCAGCTACGCTGTCTCCTGTGTATTATTTCCCTTAAAGTAGGGGAACCAAACATCCAGCTTCTTAGCACCTAGAGTCTCCCAGCGATGTTACCCGGCTATAAATGATGGGATATTCTCTCTTCGGAGAATAATCGACCTAGTGGATGACCCCGATGCCAGAGTGGGCCTAAGCAGCCTGCAGGCTTTGGTTTTCTTCCTCATCGATGATGGTTTGTTCCTAAGAAGAGGCAGCAGAAATAGCATCCAGGAAGCACACAAACAGAACTATCCCGTTATGCTATGAGATCAGGGGACAGCAGATAGACCGGCTGATTGCCCAACGGTGACCGCAGAGCTTTGTGGACCAGTGGGAGGAAGGCCTCCACGACGTGGCATGGGGTAGACCTTTGATGGAGGAGTCCTGATAAGGCCCGTATCAGAATCCCACAGGATAGAAAGGCTCAATGGGTGGTGACCTGTGCTGGTGGAGAGCATTCCCACGTCATGGAGATCAGCTTTCTATCCAAACAAAGGAGAAACTAGAGCCTCGGTGTTTTTGCAAGTATCTGGGGGGGGGAGATCTTCCGAGGCTCCCTGTTGCCTACCCAGCGACCTCCAACTTCCTGCCTAGGATTCCTGACTCTCCAAAATCTGATACTACTCTACGTTTCCAGCCTTATCATACGATTATACCTGCTCTCCAACAAGGCAGCTGAACGTGGACCTGGGTTCAGATCCTGTCTCTACTCCCTAAGAGGTTTAGAACCCTGGATAACCTCATTAACGAACATTTATTAAGTGCCTATTGTGTTTCAGGCACTTGCTATGTTGTGTATTATCGGCATTACCTTTGGGGGCATCTTATGCCCCTCCTAAAGCATTAATTACAGGAAGGCAGGAACTATGCCTTATCTGAACTCTGTATCTCTCCCTGCAGTGCTGAGCCCAGAATCCTGGACGCGGCCACTACTATTTTTGCTCCATGGATATTTATTATTGTCGTTGGGATCTGGATTTAGGGGCCTCCAAAGGCAGGCCGGCCCTGAGAGGCCGCCAGTACATCTGGGCAGAGTCTTTGGGTGGCACGAAACACCAGAAGTCCTAGGCAGGGAAGAGGAAACAGATTGGAGGAAAATCAGAAGGGTGTGGGAAGGGGGAAAAGGGAGGGTGCCTCCTTGGCCGAGGAGTCCAGACTGGAAGGGCAGAATACCGTATACGTTGTCAGACATGGTCACCCTAGCTCCGGTTTTGCTTCAACCGTTGTTTCTTTGTTAAAAGGGAGGATTTAATTTTGAGAAGTGATTTGAGGGCACTGTTTCCAGAAACAACTGCAAGGCATAAAAATAAATCTTATTCTTGAAAAGAAAAAAAAAGGGATAGTTTCTGATTACCAACTCAGAATCAGGGTACACAGTCTGACAAGGTCATTCCCTTCTCAAAGTTTTCTCCAAAGTACACTTTCTTTTCTTGCTATCAGGACTATCTAATCTGCTGTATTAGGACCTTCTTTATCATTCATATGTGAGGCTGGACCTCCACTGATTAATAATCTGCTGTCTCCCTAGTCATTCTCCTTCTTTTTTCTTTTCTTTAAATTTATTCATTCATTGATTCATTCATTCATGCATTCATTTGTTCATTCATTCATTTGTTTATTCATTTATTCATTCATTTGTTCCTTCATTTGTTCATTCACTCATTCGTTTATTCGTTTGCTTGTTTGCTGGCCATGCATGATAGCACACAGTAGTAGTTTCTGCTTCTGGGGAGGTTGAAGTGAAGCCCTTGAGTTCAGGAGTCCTAAATTATAGTAGGGCTAAAATAAGTGGAGCAGTGGATAGAATACTGGTCCTGGAGACAGGAAGATCTGAGTTCAAATCCATCCTCAGACATTGCCTAGCTGTGTGACCCTCTGCAAGTAGCTTAACTTCTGTCTCGGTTGCCCCTTCTGTAAACGAGGATAATAAAATACCTACTGGGAGGATGAAATGAGATAATTATCTATGTATGGCACTTTGCAAACCTTAAGAGGCTAGCACTCTGTAAACCTTCAAGTGTGACAGATTCTTACTAAAGCAGGACTGTGTTAGTTGGCTATTTGTCCTGGGGGCAGGACTAAGGAACAGAGTCCGGGAGATCTATAAAGAATCTCTAAGATAGGGAGGGGCCTCACAGATCATTGATATCTAATCCATACCCTGAACCCAGAACCATCTCTTTCACATGCCTGATACTAGAGGTTTGAATGGCTCCAAAGAGCCATTTTATAAAGACCTCCGGTCGTGGGATGCTCTTTACCTTAGGAGGCCATCCATTCCACTCTGG